TTTATGCTCTGTGGATATATTTTTGGAGAACATAAAGGAGAATGTTTAATCCACACCTGTAGCAAGATAATGTTTGTTTAAGGTGACATTTTAAAAATGGTCTCTGGGTCCCTGCCCATCCCAGTTCACCTGTATTTTTGGTATCAAAGTGAATTCATAGGTGGGCTTAAAGAAATGCATCACAGAGTTACACAATATCCTCTTTATCACTTAGTGGTGAAGAATATTTTCTTCCATCAAGCTATTCATATAATCTATCATTGGAGGCACTTATCTTATTCTATAGCACTGCATAGCCAGTCCCATCATCCTGGGTTATACATTTATTTCATGCATAAATAGCTATATGTGTTACATACATTTTACGTGACACGGGAAAAATTTTTTTGTGAAAGACTGCTTAGTCATATGCCCTTGTTTCTGGTTTTTTTGTAGTATGTTAAAAACTTGAAATGTGCTTTCTGATACTAGTAAAAATGATAATGAAAAGCATTCTTCTGGATTGTTTTAAACCATATCTGGACACTGTATGCATTCCTTTATCACAATTTTTTCAACTGCGTATCATTAGGGCACACTGACATTGTAAAAATGTTGTAGTTTGACACCACTTGAACTTCTGTAGCTCAATGCTATGTAAACCTGGGAGTTGTAGTTTTACAAGGTCTTCAGCCTCCTCTCCCCAAGAGTCCTGGTGCTTAACCAAACTATAATTCCCTGGATTCCATAGCAATGAGCCATGGCAGTTCAAGTGGTATCAAACTGCATTCATTTTACAGTGTAGACGTACCCTTAAATCCTGAAAAACACACACACTACATTTTCTTGCAAGCCGGAATCAATGAAAATGACTAGGTTCCCCATCAAGTGGTTCCTAAATCAAGTTGCAAATAGAAGCCATACATGTACCTTTGACAAGTAGTAGAAAAACCATCTCATGTAGAACAATATGAATTGTCAGATGAATCATGAGATCACACTGGATAGGTTTTGCATAGATTTGCAGTCAGGAGACGGGAAGACATGTCTCGCATTATGCGATGCTCTGGTAAAGCAATACAGAAAAATGATAAACCTTGGAAACTTGGGGAAAGGGTCGGAGAAAGTCATAAGGGTAAGACAGGAAATTTAGAAAGACTACCAAAAGTCATGGTGGGAAAAATGAAGAAATAATAAATTTAGAACCACAGGTTTATTATGGGTTGTAGGGGGCAAAGAACTGAATGAATGATTGGGATACATTGTTTGCCCTTTCCCCAAGACATAGTAGCAACCTTCTTACAAATTAAATTTACCTGACTATTTTATTGTATATAAAAATCCTCAGCTCTACAACACATGAAGAAGTAGAGAAATTAGAACAAATAGGGGATAGAAAGTGCATTGAAGAATATACATAATGAAAGTGTACTGTTTTTCAGCAATAACATGCTTTTAAAAGATACTGATGTGCAAAACATATATTTTAATAGGTAAGAGTGAACTGTAGAGGTCTACAGTTTCTGCCTTATTAATTCATGATTCACCCTAGACTTTATAAGAGGAAAATCACTGACTCTTTTGCTATCATCATGAATGCCCCAATCAACTTGCACTTCTGTTAAAATGCATAAGCTTGTAATAAGCAAAGGGGCATACGGTGCTGTAAATTTACAATGGAATAAATGTATATGTATTTGAAAGCGAGGAGGAGCTGAGGAGCCTTCTAATCAAGGCGAAAGAAGAAAGCGCAAAAGCCGGGTTGCAGCTAAACGTCAAAAAAACCAAGATTATGGCAACAAGAATGATTGACAACTGGAAAATAGAGGGAGAAACCGTGGAGGCCGTGACAGACTTTGTATTTCTAGGTGCAAAGATTACTGCAGATGCAGACTGTAGCCAGGAAATCAGAAGACGCTTACTTCTTGGGAGGAGAGCAATGTCCAATCTCGAAAAAATAGTAAAGAGTAGAGACATCAGACTGGCAACAAAGATCCGCCTAGTCAAAGCCATGGTATTCCCTGTAGTAACCTACGGATGTGAGAGCTGGACCTTAGGGAAGGCTGAGCGAAGGAAGATCGATGCTTTTGAGCTGTGGTGTTGGAGGAAAGTTCTGAGAGTGCCTTGGACTGTGAGAAGATCCAACCAGTCCATCCTCCAGGAAATAAAGCCCGACTGCTCACTGGAGGGAAAGATACTAGAGACAAAGTTGAAGTACTTTGGCCACATCATGAGGAGACAGGAAAGCCTAGAGAAGACAGTTATGCTGGGGAAAGTGGAAGGCAAAAGGAAGAGGGGCCGACCAAGGGCAAGATGGATGGATGGCATCCTTGAAGTGACTGGACTGACCTTGAGGGAGCTGGGGGTGGTAACGGCCGACAGGGAGCTCTGGCGTGGGCTGGTCCATGAGGTCACGAAGAGTCGGAGACGACTGAACGAATGAACAACAACAACAATTTGAAATGACATGTTTCTTTCCAATGTTTCACTATCAGTGTTCTTGGTTGCGTTAAAGGTCATGAAATTCAATGGAACGTCTCAACAATATGCAAGCACATTGCAGTTCATGGCAAAATGCACAACACTTAATGTGGCTTAAGGTCAAGACAACACTTGGCAAGGAATGATGTAGTGATTGGGCCTGAGACTATGATCATGACAGAATCAGAAACTTTGTAGATGTTTAAAGGCAAATAAAAGGCACAATATATATATATTACTGATTCATTGGGAAGAGTGCCACCTGCTGACAGTGGCTCACAACAATTTATTTTTTCCCCCCTGCAGGTTTCCAACAAGAATATTGAAATATGTAGAATCAAATGTCCCCATAAGAATGCCTTACTTAATAGAGTTGTGCTTGAAGAGAAGCTATGTTTGTGCAGCTGCTAAAGCAGGCCAAATGAAGGTTGCAGATATTTATGTTGTAGGTGTAGGAAAACCTAAATGAAAGTTGTTTCAGTGTGTGATAAAGGTTGCACTTCTGCATTCATTATTGTGTAATATTAACAAAACCGCAGTAAGAGTGCATAACATAACCACGACCAATGACAGATCTTCAATTCTTCATAATCTCCTTATCGGTTATCTCAATGTATGTAATGGAGAAAGTAAGGATGGGCAGAAGTGTATGAAGAAAAGATAATTCAGATCAGTAAGTCATGCCATGTGCTGGAGGGGGTGAAAAAAGGAGGAAAGGAAAATAGGTCAAGGATCAAAAATCCTGACATGGCATGTTTTGATGAAGAGGCCTTATTTTATGTTAATATGTGTCTGTTTTTAAAAACAATGTGAAAGCTGCTAAGTTATTGAAGGAAATACTGGGTCCAGATGTTTCCCTGCAAAATAATACATATTTCATTCAAAAATTATTTACCTTTTATAGATTGTGCTTATTTGTGTGAAAGGGTTCATATGGAGATGAATGAGTCAATCAAACTAAAGTATTGTCTCAAATTCCCAGCAGTTAGGCCACAACATTGGCTGAAACACTGTAGTTTGTATTCCTGTGAGTAGAGTGCCATGACACTTTGTTAAATTTCCATTTAACATTTAATTTCTATTTGTAATCATTTTAAAAACCTGTTTTAAAATTAGCCCTGTCCATCTTTCTTGTCATATTGAACCATAATCAAGGCAGATATTTAAGGGAAGTTCAGATTGATTTCTTTCTAGATCTGAAGTATGTTTAAATTGCTGTAGCTATCAATGTCTAAATTACTTTAGATAACCAAAATGCATTTTTATTTAAATTAGAAGCATTTTACCATATCCTTTTCATATTCTTAAGTTTGCTTATTTCCTTGTAATTTTGTATTGCATCCATTGCATGATGTGTTTTATCTAAAATGGGCTTGAATTTTCTTTTGAAAAAAGATGGCATATAATTATAAAAGATTTCACAACATCATTGGTATATAACATATTTGTCAGATGGGAAACTAATCTGCTTTCTTGATGCTCAGGGGCGACATTTGAGTTCATTTTCTGCTCATAGGGTGTGATGTAGTATAAAAGTGATAGTCTCAAGAGTCTTATCTAGATGGATAGTGAGTCAGAATAGAAGGAAGTGCTTAGAAAAAGTACTATGCACTGTGTGGGTGCGTATTTCCTACCTCAAGATATTGTCAGAGTCATTGACTTAGATATCTTTCAAGAAGTTGGAAAATTGATGACAAGGCTGGCTAATAGTCATGATAACAATATGTTCCATGCATTTTTATAAATAATGTGTTTCTAAATATCAATTGCTGTGAGATGTGGGCAGGAGAGTACTTACCCTCATGTCCTGCTTCTGAGCATCCTTTAAGCATTTCAGAGAGTGCTGGTGTTTTGTATCGTCAATTCTTTCTGACTTACAATGACCCAAAGGTGACCTTATTATGGAGATTTCCTGGAAAGATTTGTTCAGGGGAGTTTGCCTTTACCTTCCCAGACCATAAAACCTAGGATTAGCTCGGTTTTATGGTCTGATCCAGCAAAATTATTTCACATTTTTAAAAGATTCAATAGCAGAATAATGTTGAACATGGTGATACAACTGAATTGTAACTGCATTCCTGAAATGGTTATTTTGGTGTTAGCTGTAAAAGTTATATGCAAGACATAATGGCTTTGATCTGACAATGGCTATATGGTATTTATCATTTTGCACCGTCATACATTTGCAGCTACCATGCTGTATCTTGTATCATTCTTGGAGATCCCCATTATGATTCAACATCATCCTTTCCTGCATCTTTCCAGAATAAATGGTGCAGGAAATCTGCATTCCATGAATTTATTCCCTAACATTTTAGGCAGTATGTTAAAAATAACACATGTAGCTGGAGACATTAATTTTCTTTCCACTCAACTCAACCTCCCAGTGAATGAAACAACTAGCTGTTCAACAAAGATCAATTAGGATCTTTGATCCTAATATTCATAAATTCATTCAAATTAGTGAATAAACTAGAGCTGGTGATAGTTTTAACTTCCAATTAACTCTCAGATTCTCTTTCTTGCTCTTTCATTTACAGGTTCCCTTTTGTGCTATAAGCTATGGCTCCCTTTTTACGAATATCATTCAACTCTTTTGAGTTGGGACCAGTGCAGAATCAAGCGGAGCAACTGCAGCCCTTCTGTGCAATAAAAATGAAAGAGGCCTTGACTACAGGTAAAACCACTGATTTTATTTACATTATTGGTATTCCTTCTTTTCATTATTATTCTCTCTCCTCAGGTTTACATATGTGTTCAACATACAAGAGCAACAAACAGAATGCTAAAATGTAACTTTGATCCATAGTTTAAAATAAATTACACAATCCAAGGCATCCCTGTTCTTGGTTTATATTTTTCCCTTTGATTTCTCAGATCTTGTGAAAGATCTGTTCTTCTTCTGTCTCTGTCTCTGTTTCCCTCCCCCTCTCTCCCTCTCCCCCTCTCTCTCCCTCTCTCTCTCTCTCTTGTCATCTTCTGTTTCTTTGTCCCTGCAGCCAAATTATTGAACAGTTGCATCCAGGGTTCTGACCAAATATTTTGGAGACATTTGCTTCTCATTTGCCATTAAATGTCTGAAGGGTTTCCTCTGTCATCCATTGAGACTTTTATTTCTATTTGGCTACTAATACCTTCTTTTTGTATTTCTCCCTAACAGCGTCCCTCACACCAAGGATTACAATGTTTAAATGTTCCATTTCTTGTTTTACTATGTCTAGTTTTCCTCAATTCGTGTTTCGCACACCCCCTGTTCCTACACTATATGTTGTACAGATTCAGATTTTCCTTTCATTTCTGAGCATGCCAATCACTCAATATATTTACAGTTTTCTTACACAAGGAATACTCAGAGGTGGTTTTTCTAGTTCCTTCCTCTGAACTAGGAAAGCTGCAGCACCTGATATTCATTGACGGTTTGCTATCCAAGTACTGGTACTTGGGTATTTAGGGCTCTCTGAAATCCGCTTAATATGGCTTCCATAACGATGATCCCACAATCAATGTACTTACATAAATATTGTGATGCCTACAGCACCCATGTCATTTTCCAAGGCAGACCCATGCATTACCGTAATTCAAAAGATGGTTGCCAGTACAATTGTTTCTGTCCAGCAATGGTTGAAAGACCTACTTATTGAGGATTGTGTATTAGAATTTATATTACTCTCTAGATTAAATAGAATTACAGGGAAGGAAAGAGGACTGGAATGTACTTTTTATTAATGGAAACATCCAAACTAAGCAGCTAAAAGTACAAAGGGCCTCTCTGTATCCAGGTAAAAGCTTTTTGACAGAAGTAGAGGAGATAAAACAGAACCCTGCAGAATATCTTCAGGTGGCTATTTGTGAACATTTGAGGAATTCGTTTGGCAAACTGACATTAGCCTGCTTGTCAAATATCTAATTTACAATGTTGGTTTTGGCAGGCCTTACCTAATAAAGACAAAATGAGGTACTGCTCTTTACTACTGTTTGGACACTTCATGCTGAGAGCTGTGCACCAAACAAAACCACATTAATCTGAAGTTTAACTGTGAACTGAAATCTCATGTCAGAAATGTCACTGAATATTAAGGGATTAGTTACCAACTCCATTAGATATTGATGGTGCTACTTTTTGGTCTGGCAATGGGAAGATTTTTAACTGAACTAGACCTGTACTTTTTTCCCAAGAAGAAGCAGTCTTAGCTAAGATTGTGTCTTTCCAAAGAGTATTAACCAAGCATGGGCAAACTTCATCCCTCCAAGTGTTTTGGACTTCAATTCCCACAATTCCTTATAGCAGTAGTTCTCAACCTGTGGGTCCCCAGGTGTTTTGGCCTTCAACTTCCAGAAATCCCAGCCAGTTTACCAGCTGTTAGGATTTCTGAGAGTTGAAGGCCAAAACATCTGAGGACCCACAGGTTGGGAACCACTGCCTTACAGCCTACTGGCTGTTAGGAATTGTGGGAGTTGACGTCCAGAACAGTATAGTATAAACCATTATTACATTGGACAGTTGTTTCTAAAAATAAATATGTTTGTGTAATTACTACTCGAGTTTTACTATTCTTTCAACATTGGTGGGTTACTATTCCTTGGCTTTACTTTAATTAAGTGAAGGTAGTCCCTTGGTTGGTAGTCCCAGGTGAAACATCAGGAGAGAATGCCTCTAGAACATGGGCATATAGCTCGAAAAAACCTACAAAAATCTAGTTCCTTGGTTATTATAATTCTCTCTATAGTGCATATTAGTCATAGTAATTTCTCAATCATATCTTTCTGTGGTGTTTCCAGAGAGAGGCAAAACACTCATTCAGAAGAAACCTACCATGTACCCAGACTGGAAATCATCTTTTGATGCCCACATCTATGAAGGGCGTGTGATTCAGATTGTTTTAATGAAAGCAGCAGAAGAACCATTATCCGAGGTGACTGTAGGTGTCTCTGTTTTGGCTGAAAGGTGTAAGAAAGGCAATGGGAAAGCAGAATTCTGGGTGAGTATAATGCCAGGAAATTAATTATTATTTTGCCTAGCCCCATATCACTTAGAACCAGGATATCTAAATAAACTTACAAACCCGCTCAGTGCTCAGAATTGTCTTTAAGAATTATTTCTTGTGTTTAATTATTACAATGTTTAATTATTACAATTTACAATATTTTGGGGGAGGCTTTGTTATTTATGTTATGTTTATGGACTTACGCAAAAACACATGAGCGTGGCTGGTTGGAAAACAGTATGTGCCAGTGTGTAATTTGGGTACGTTTGGGGCAACATAATGAAATGCTGTTATTCTTCAAGTTGGATTTGCAGTATATGTATCTATTGCAAAATAAATGAATGATGTTTGTAATTTAAAAAAGAATTATTTCTTAATCTTTAGGAATGGCCAGGAATGGGGCTTTTCTCTGCTGTTGCCCTGTTTACAGATTTTACTCGCTAGAGATACCTCTCAGAATCCTGTATTGTTAAACCGCGGACTCCAGAGTTTATAGATATATGCCTATATAGCCAAGATTTTCAATGCGCTTTGATGGTAGTTTAATGCATTTTTGTACACTGTGTTCCTTTTTACATATGATAATTTTAGTTTGGGATTGAATTGATTAGTTACTTTCTGTATACGTTCCTGGGAACTGAAAAAACAAAACATAGTAAAGATAAAGATTTCCCCTGACATTAAGTCTAGTCGTGTCTGACTGGGGGATGGTGCTATCTCCATTTCTAAGCCAAAGAGCTGGTGTTATCTGTAGACACCTTTGAGGTAATGTGACCAGAATGACTGCATGGAGCACTGTTACCTTCCAACCAAAGCAGTACCTATTTATCTAGTCACATTTACACGTTTTTGAACTGCTAGGTTGGCAGAAGCTGGACCTAACAGCGGGAGCTCACCCTGCTCCCCCGATTCGAACTGTCAACCTTTCGGTCAGCAGGTTCAGCAACTCAGCAGTTTAGCCAGGTCATATAAATGCTTTTTGATAAATCCATTAAAATGGAATGAAATCCTGTTATTTACATTTATTTAACTTTCAGGAATAAAGTCCTGCCCTTTATGCTAATGTTTTATAACTTTTAATCATACAAACTTGGCTTTAAGGTGGATACTGTGATCTAAGCCTGCGTTTTTTCAGATCACGAGGCATTGAGATTTATTAAATGTTGTACAGAAAGTAAAATAGCTTTTAAATAGCAGAGTCCTGAGGTTGGTTTTCTAAATATTGTTAGAAACAACCTGTTTACTTGTTATTTTACACATAATTGTTTTTCTCAGCTCTGATGGGTAGTTCAACGTAACTTGGCTTATGAGTGGTACAATTCATGAAATGTAGTGTAACTGTTGATCTGAAATTGATAAACCTTGAGTTTTATAAGCTTCAAACTGTCAGCATTTACTGTAAGGGCAGTTGTGTAAAATATATGGCAGTGTTCATGGGCCAGTGGATTAGACTGTGAATTTTGCCAACTGTGAGCTTCATTTCTAATTTATCACAGAAATTTTAGAGGCGCTTCAAATCATGTTTGGGTAATTTGAAGAAGCTCCCTGTGGCAAAGAATGGGAATCAATTACATTTGGATTTGTACAAAAGCTATATAAATCTCTGTAACTATATAGTTTTTGAAGATCTTACGTCTTCTTAGAAACCAAATGATGTATAAATTGCCATGTCAGTTCTTCTTAGGAAACCCAAAGTATCATCAATGTTTTCTCTGTGAGATAGTTTGAAGGAGGGAGCAGTTTAGCTGCAACTTTGAGTTTTGTGACAAGTTTAATTCTGTGTTTAGAGCACAAGAAAGCTGATAGTAGTGGTTTAGCATAATCGGCATGTAATCTATGTCTTTCTTTCTTAGCTTGATTTACAACCTCAAGGGAAAGTATTGATGGCTGTACAATATTTTCTTGAAGATGGAGGTAAGGAGAGGTATTTTTTCATTAATATAAAAAATATTATTGTAAAAAGATTACTCCTACTCTTCCCTCCTTTGAACTTTATTTATATTCCACTTTGATTCATGCACAAAATTATTAGAAATATTGTATTGAAATTTCCTTTAGATTATGTGTATGAAACCTATGAGAAATATAATTGAATTTTGTGTTTAGATCCAAGATAGTTAATATGTGTTTATATGTAACAAGGTAGTCCAAAAATATCCAAAACACCTCTAGTCCCAAGCACTTTGGATGAGGAATACTCAACATGTACTTTGTCACCCTGGGAAATATAGACATTCCATGACTTGCATCTTTCCTGTCATGCATTAAGCCAGAACTTTTAAAGTAAATGCTTATGTAAGTACAAAAGATGGATTCTGGCTAATCACATAACCCTCCATGTATTGTTGGACCATAAGTCACGGTACCCAAGACAGTGTAACCAGTGGTAAGGAATGCTAAGACTTGCCATTTAACTTGCCCTAAAGGGCCACATGATTGTCACCCCACACTTAGGACTATGAATTATGCTGTATACTCATTTATTAAGTCTAGAAATGTTAGTTGAAAAATCAGCCAAAAAACTTGGGTCGACTTATTCATGGGTCAATGTGAGTATTGTACCTTAACTGTGTTTTTTAAAGGAACTGTCCTCTACAGCAGTGGTTCTTAACCTTGTGGGTCCCCAGGTGTTTTGGCCTACAACTCCCAGAAATCCCAGCCAGTTTACCAACTGTTAGGATATCTGGGAGTCTAAGGCCAAAACATCTGGGGACACACAAGTTAAGAGCCCTGCTCTACAATGAATAGAGTGACACAGAAGTGCTGACCATGGTGTTGCTTCTGGCCATTTTGAATGTCTGGACAGGGACATTCAAAATAGCCCCTTGAGGCAGCATTGATACCTTCCCCTCATTGTAGAATGCCCTCAACTTATCCATGGGTCATATCAAAAACCCTATTTTGTGTCGCAATTACACATTAAATTGACTTAGACCTGAGTATATATGATACCTACTTAATTTGTACAAGTACAAGTTAATTTGAAAAGTGTGGCTCCAGTTGCCTGTATGTGCCTTTATCTATTACAAAGCATTAACTGTTAATCTCATTCTGAATTTTCACTCCAATGGTTCATTGAATCCGAAATAGGATCCATGCATATAATGGGGGGAAATAAGCAGAGCAGAACTGGATTTGGAGATGATTGTGAAGAAACCATTTTAAGTTTTTCAGTGCTGGAAGAGTTTGAATATGAGCCCTTAAGAGTAATTTTCTATGGGAATGTTTCAAGAATGACAATGTGCAGTTCTGTCCTTGCTTTCCCATTGCTTCATAAGCATAATAGATCCCATCTCCAAGGGTGTCAAGGATTCATTCTCCTCCACACCATACAATTTCCCAGTGCCTTAGCAAAATGTTTTTTATTATCAACAAGTTGCAAGACAGGCACTCTTTTTCAGCAAGGGCAGTACCTTTGACACACAATCATGTTCTCTCTTTCCCCCAGATATTACACAGGGTTTGGATCTTTTTGCTGCTGCCCTTTCTTTCACATAAAACTTGGGCTGTACTAGATCTTGATGAATCACTTAAACTTGCATGTCTGGATCAACATTAGCAAAATAATAATAATAATTCATTTATTCCATATCAAAAGCATTACATAAATTAGGATAAAACCAATAAAAATAGAAGGAGCACAGGTGGCTAAATATCTTTTGACCAAAACGGGCAACAGCAATGGCATTGTCTGTAGCCTCCAAAAATTCATCCTCTGTACATGAGGCAGGACATAGTGGACCAGCATAGAGATGTGGAGTTGTCTGTTCTGCTCCACAGTCACATAAGGTGTGGGGTTCTTTTAGGTAGTGCCATTTTGCCAGGTTGTCTTTTGTAATACATATGACTCTTTTATCCATACTGCAATCCAATATTCTCAATTTCCATGGTTTCACTTATCCACACTCCAAAATACATTTCTCCCTGGAAATGTATAGGCTTCTCTATGTGCTCTAGTACCATTATGCATGCTACAATAGAATCACAAAGTTGGAAGATACCACAATAGCCACCCAGTCCAACCACCTGCAACAAAATACAATCAAAGCACCCTGGACAGATGGCTATCCATTATCTAGTTTAAAAAGCTCAAGAGAAGGAGGCTCTGAGGCAGCAGCATATTCCACCACTAAAGAGCTTTTGCAGTCAGAAAGTTTCTTCCTAATGTTTAGATGGAATCTCTTTTCCTGCAATTTGAATACAATCCTCCATGTCCTAGTTTTCAGCGCAGAAGAAAACAAGCTTGCCCCCTCGGTTATGGGGATCATACTGAATTCAAATACTGTATGCCAAACTCACCAAATCGATTTTCTTCTAACTCATAAAAAGAAGAGGGATATTTCACAATTGAATTACCTTTTATAGTTTGGTAACATTTCCATTCCATTCATTAGCAATCATAATTGATTAAATGCTTTAACCAAAAAGAGGGACTAAGAAGGAAAATATAACTAGAAGAATAAAAATATATTTTTCTACAAACCTAGGAATAGCCAGAAAAATAAGAAGATACTGCACGTATATAACATTCTTAATTTAGTTTGCCATACACCTCAAGTTTAGGACTCTGGTCTTTTTCTCCATTCCTAGCTCCAGGTATATGCAACCTTTGGAAAAGAAGGAGCCTATTCTGTCTCAGAGAACTATTTACTGCAAAAAATTCATAATATACTATGGGCTAATATTTTTCTCTGTTGTGCATGGAAGCACAACATGGAAAGTAGCCATCCAATTTGAAGTTTCTCTAAAATAAATATGTGAGGGAATGAAACTGAGACCCTATGGTGAGCACATACAGCTTCTCTGTACTGTCTTATTATTAGATATATTTTTATCACTTCGTGGTTATGAGTTAAAATAACTGAAGGTAATAGGTATGTGGTTCTGTATACAAGTATTATTAAGTGTTGTGATTTTAAAAATCAGCAACGTTTTGATGGGTGCATTTTCATTGTAAAAATGTCATAGTTTAGAGAGAAGAATGACAGAATTAAATATTTGCTTTGCCAGAGGCATTTAATGTGATTGCTCTGTTTTGTTTTTACTGCTTGAGGCTTACAAGAGGCATCTAAATTATTAATGTGTTTTATGAAAAAGCAGAGGTTTTCTACAGTGTTTTTCTGCCCATGTCTGTCAAATTTTGAAGAGACATGACTGTTATGAGTCACTATCATTCATGTAAATATGAGTTTCTGTGTTTAGAGTAAAATAATCCTGGCAGTTTGCATAAAATGACAAAGCTAGTTTATCATAATGTACAATGAAATAAGGAAAATAGTGTTGACATTTAGATCCCTGAAAAAAAGTTTTGGGTTAAAAGGCTTAGGATACAGAGTGTTCTATGTAATCAAATTATGAAACGCAATAGTGAGATACATGTCATTCCAGGCTAGCATCTTAATGTTATCTTCTCAAGGCCTAACTTATACTCCATCAAAAATACTCTGTGCAGAAACTGGATAAAGCTCTGTTGATTGCTTTGCTTATTGAACTTTGGGTTGTGGTAACTTCTGCTAGAACCAAGACCTTCAAGATGGTCTGCAATAACACACTCATTTATCTTCGCCCTTATTATTATTATTATTATTATTATTATTATTATTGCTTTTTGTAGAAAGGCAGTGGCATGCAAGGGTTGCGATCCCCATGAATGGAACTTCAATTTTTCTATGCTGTATGAACAATGCTTATAAGCAGCATTATACAGATCTAGTTGCCAATGCCTTTTGTTTATTTGAATCACAATATTTACCTTATGCAGTCACAGACCTTAGCACCTAGTACATGGTTTATTTTAGCACTGAGAGCCTCCCTCTCTGAGTGTCTTCAGCCACTTTGGAGGCAGCTGAACTAGTTTTCTTGTTCTGAAATTACTATGCCGCTGACTTCAGCTTCAAAAAGAAGGGGTTAGTCAATCACTTTCTCTGTAAAATGTATGCTTTTTGGTATTTTAAAATTGTCCCATTCAATTTAATATTTAACAAGCAATTTATTAGCAAATGGGGAAGATTATATACATAGTCAGGCACCTGTTATTTGAATGTGATTGTTATTTTATTTTGTGAAAACTGTTTAGCCAAAAAATATTTTGATATCTGTAGAGTCTTGAGGATGTCTATTGAGCTGGCTTGTTTTATTCTGTGTTAAGGAGGATGCATATTTCCATCACTAAATTAATGTGTGATGTTGTTATGTACCTTCAACTCCTTTCTGGCTTAATGTGGCCCTGTTACAGTTTTCCTGGCCAGATTTTTCATAAGATGTTTGCTGTTGCCTCTCCTCTGAGGCCGAGAGAGTATGATTTGTCAAAGATCATAGACTGGATTTCCGTGGCTAGGCAGAAATTTGAACCCTGGTTTCCTGGATTCAAATCCCCTATTCCACACTGGCTCTTAGCTAAATTAATAAAAAACATTATAGTTTATGAGCATGGAGATAGTAATTATTTCCATTATCAGCTGCTAGCAGTGTTGTCTGTTAGCCTCTGATGAAGATAAATGTGAATGGTAATATTCCTACGCAGCTCATTTACAGCATTTATTCATTCCGGTGGGAGCAGTTCAAAATTGCGGCGCTTGTTTTTAAAGACGATGATTGCGTGTGTTAATAGTTCTATTCTTGGTGAGTTGTGGTTAGTTTTTCCATGCTGTTCATTGTGCTTTTCTCTGGAAATGCTGTGAATGACAGAATTTGCAAAATAATGTATAATAGTTGTGAACCTGAATGCAAACACACATACTCACCACCAATGACTGTGTAATGTAGACCTTTCTAATTTTTTGTTGGGTAGGAAAAAACAACTGTATATAACATATTCAAATAGACATTCCTTTGAAAACAATGCAGTGAAGAGACTGTCTCTGGAATTAGATGCACATTTGGAGAAATATCTGTTACCTACTGTTCCAGCAATA